TGATTCTCCTAAATTTCCCCTTAAATGAGGAAATATTTGTAAAAACAAAAATAGAGTTTACAAAATATTTATTTTATTTTATAAACCATTTTAATTGAATTATCCTTTTTAAGGGAACAAAAAGAATTTTTAAAATTTTTATTAAAAATATTAAATATTTTATCGAAATTTTTTATTTAATCATTTAAATGATTTAATGAATGGATTTACTTCTATATTTATATGATTTTTTCTATATTATTTTATTTTAAATTTTACCCGATCTTTTACGATTTTTGCACTTTTAGGGCTGACTTTGCTTTCTTTTTGTATGATTTTTGTTGCCCTTTTTTATAAAATAAAAAATTATCTATTTTTAATCACATTCTTAAAATATTTTTACTTTAATAATGCCGAATTTCCGACATACAAAATTTGATTTATTGTAGATTTATGTATATTTATTTATGTTTATGTTTATTTAAAAATTTTATTGTACAAACTACAAACTCATTCAACGCTATTTTTCACTCACAAGATTTTAAAAATTAGGGATTGATTAGCAATGTTTCTAAAAACATCGAAAAGTCGGCTTTCAGACTAGGGTATTTCTTTTGCTTTTTATTTTGTTTTTTGAGATAGATCAACTTTAGTTTTAATTTTTTTAAAAAAGAAAGCGGTTGGTCCCGTTTTACCATTGCCAAATCAAAAAATTCACTCAGACGCCCTCAATTACCCTCGCCTAAAATGTTAGAGACAATTTTCCGTTCTCTTCATTTAGAGCCCAAAATTCCGAAAAATCTTAGAGCCCAAATTTTCCAGAGCCCAAATTCCCGGGTATCTTCAGAGCCGTGTACAAAAATCCTAGATTTTAGAAAGACATCAAGCCAAAATTTTCCATTTCTTTCGATTCTTATGGGGGCATATTTAGCCTTGGACCTCGGCGAGGTTCTTGGCAGGACCGAGACGACTTTTATTTGATGTAATATCCCTATTTGATGCTGTCCTATTTTTGGAACTGAAATTGAAGATATAAGTATTTTTATCCAGTTTTGTCTATTTTCTATGTAGATATATTCATTACTAGGTAATGAATAGGGATCGGATTTGTATTGAAATATATTTTTTTTTCCTGAATATATTATGTCGAGAAAAGCCCAAATATGCCATTAGTCTTTCGGTATTATGATTTTGAACAAAGTTACATTTCAATATATTTCAATATTTTGCCAATTTCCCCGTTATTTCAATATTTCGCGTTTTTTTCAAATTATTTCAATATTTTTGCATATTTTTACAAAATTTTGGGATTTTTCATAAATTTTAGGAAAAAAGTGAAGAAATCTAGACGTTTGACAACCAAAATTCTCAAAATTTTCGCCTGCGGCGCTGAAAAGGGGATGTTATGGCCTACAGTGCTGTCAAAATGTGTAAATGACCAAAGGTCCCCATAAAGGCCCATTCCAAAATGCTTCGCCCTTAAAATGTCCCACAGGACAAAACCCGAAATGGCACATTGAGAAAACCCACAAAATGTCCCACCCTCATTTTATCAATCAAAAAATGTCCAAGAGAGTAAAAATACTCGATTTGTCGAGCTATAAAGTCGATTTTAAAAACGTGGTTATTTTTTTTTGTTAAATTTCAACTTTTTTTGGAGGTTTTCTAGTGAATAAACGATAATTTATTTCAATATTTAGCTAGTTTTTTCCATTTTTTGTCAATATTTTGCCACTTTATTTCAATATTTTATGGCCATATTTTCCGATTTTATTTCAATATAAATCCGATCCCTAGTAATGAATATATGTATAGCCTAGCTATAACTTTGTTTAAAATTTTCGAATCCATGGCGTCCTTGTATGGTTCGATGCGTCTCGACCAGCTGTATCGAACCATACAAGGTCGCCACGGATCCGACAATTTTTATAGCTCGGCGGTACATTGGGCTCGTGTTACACTGGCCTGCTCCCGGCCCAATAAAGCCCCAACTCAGTGATTAAAACGCTTTTATTTAATAATATCACTAACAAAGGCACATTATTTATTTTAAATTTAGATAAAGAATACCTACCTGTTTTTGAAAAATGAATAATATTTCTATTTTAATTATTTGGGCTACTATTTATTTTATTTTTATTAATATTTTGCTGGCTTTAGATTATGCCCTTCCAGGACCATATCCACCGCAGCATAATTTTTTTATGAATTTGGTTGATGATTAAAGATGAAAAGAAAAAAATTTTAAAAATAAATTATTATTAACGAATAACTTATAAACAATAAATTGTGAAATAAAAAGATTTTTGGTAATAGTTTCAATTATTTCCCCCATTTTCCCCTTTTCCAACTAGGTATTTAGAGTTTTTTGCTGGATCCATAATTTATTATTCGGGTGCGGCAAACATATTTTGTATGCGGATATGAGCTAAAACGCTCAAAAAAGTTGTTTTTACGTCGGTATAAACATTAGCGACTTGTGCATATTTTGATCATCTTTCTGTACAATTTCTTAAAATATTGGTTGTCTGGCTTAATAAACTTTTCAAAAATTCTTTCATAATTTTAAACCGAGGGTACCAGTATTAACCGGGGGTACCGGTTAATAACCGGTAGTGAACAACCCTACTTAAAATATTGAATTTGAATTTTGGGATTTTAGTGTATATTTTAATATGCTCTTTTGGTGCATATTTTTGGATTTTAGTTTACTTATTAAATTTGTGGTCCTCCTGAAGAGAAAAGTTTGGTTTAATGTTGTTTATAATATTCTATCAAATTTAATGGAGTTTACAATATTCTATTCAAATTTTTAAAAAATTTAAAATTTTAACCAATAAAAAAATATCAAAAATGATAAAAAATAAACTTCGCTTTTGGAATAACCCCGATTGCTGAGTTCTCTCTTCAGGTTATGCGGATGCCTTTGAAAATATCGTCAACAAATCTGAAAAAATCGCCAACCCAAAAGTAAAAAATATTTTTAAAATAGAATATTTAAAAAATTAAAAGTCTAGAAATGTTTAAATAAAGGTCAATTATCGGTCTTTCTTTTAATTAATAAACTTTTAATTTAATTTAAATTTATTTCATAATATGATGAAATAATAATTGTAAATACACGTGAAATAAAAATTATTTTAAAAGTCTTGTAAATGCACTTTAATTAACTAATTCGTTGAAAACATTAAGGAAATGCTTAATTAAAGGGCAATCACCAGACTTCCTCTATAAAATTTAGAAATATTCAAAGTGCAAGCTTTCCCCCAAAATATTTTTTATTTAAGCGCGGAATTAATTGAGGAAAAAATCAAAAATAAATTCAAAATCGAAACAACTAAAAAACCCCCAAAAATGATATTTACTCAACGCAACTTTACCCGATTAATGTTTATGATGATGGCAAAAGTGTGGGGAGTAAATGGAGGTGGAGGTGCAACTGCCCCGATTTCCGCGTTCTCTTCAGCCTTTGTGCCACCGATGCATAATAATATGCCTCTGAAAAAACCGCCAACGAATCTCCACGTTCAAGCGCTTAATTCAGGGAAGAAATCTTTTCCGTCTGCTCAATCAAAACATTCGTTTGATAATCCTAAATTTGCAATGAAGCATAAAAATGCTTTAATGCTGGATTTAGGGGAAACGATTGGAGAGGAAGGAAATAAAGTTGTTGCCAATCAAGAAAAAGATATTCGTCTACTTAATGGCGCCGAAACGTTGCCGATAGCATCGCGTCGCCTTTTGTTAGAACCGAACCGATTGAAGGCTTTTGAGTTAAGCAAAGAACCGTTGAAGACTTTTGATCATGCAAACGCAGAAATGATCATTAGACATGCTGTTCCAGAAGGTATTTTTATTCATTAATACAGGGTGATAATGAGATTAACTAAGGATTATATGTATGATAGAGAAATAAGTAGCAAATATTATCAAGAATTCTACTAGAAGTACCAAACTCTTGCTTGGATTTTTATAATAATTTTTTAAAATATTTAATTATACATGACAAAGTGATAAACTCTTTAATTCTAAAATGAATTTTTTATTCAACTTCATTTTTTAAGTCTAATCCATCTGGTCTCTAATCCATCTAATCCAATTAACATTTTATAGAGTGGGGGTTTCAATAAGTATAACCTTTGTTTTATGGGAAGAGATAAATTGCAGATTTCGGAAATTGGGTCGACTAGGCTCTACATTAGTCTCAAATTAAATAATTTTAAATTAATTAAACAAAGATGCCACCCAAATGCGTCAATTGGCAATTTCTTTAATAAATTCTGAAAATGTTAAACCAGAAATTGAAGTTGGGCAAATTGAAAAAGATTTACAAGAAGGTTTTGTGCATGCTTTAGTTATTGAAATTAAGGAAGAAAAAAAGATAATTGGTTATCTTTCATATACAATTTCTTCCTCATTAAATGGAGGGAAGGTTTAAAATGAATTGAAAAAAATATTTTAAAATTAATTTATAGGTTGTCTATTTGGGTGATTTAATTTGTGAAATTAAATATAAAGAACTTCCAGTAAGATTGTATGCAGAACTTGCTAAGGTTTATAATAATAGGGTTGTTGTTGACCGGGTTTAAAGCCGAAACTCGAAAATTTTCTAAAATGAGAGATTTTTTAGAAGAATTCCCCAAAATAAAACTGATATTGAACTAAAACCAAAACAGAAAACAAAGTTTTTTTTTAATTTTGAATTGACTAAAAACGGATGGTATCGGTTATTAACTTGATCGCCAACAACTATAATAGTTTATAAATATTAGTGTTTCACCGGAACCGAAATTTTGACCGAAACCTGAACCAGATCTAATTTGAGTTCCGGATTCCGGAACCGGAACTAGAACCAAAAAACGTCGGAACCTTCAGAAACCGGAACTTCCGATGAAACTCTAATAAATATATATCTAAATAAATGAAAATATGTATTAAAGTTGTCTGCTAAAACTGAAGAAATAAAAGAAATTCAAGCTATAGCCAACAGCAAATCTGTTGGATATTTTCTCTTTCCAGGAATGGATATTGTGCCAAAAGAAACTTTTTGGCAATTACAATTAAATGATAATGAAGTAGAGAAAATATTAAAAAATGGAATGAATGTACTTTGTGGAACTTTGGTTGGGGGGGTTTTTTGAATTAATTTCAAAATTATTTTCTGTAGAAATCAACAATTTATTTGCCTGGTAAATTGAGTGGAGATGAAGCAATTTATCTTATTAAACAATGGAAGGAAATGAACGGAGAAGGTAACTTATAATAAGGGAGAGGACTCCGAGCAGGCATTGATCCTGCAACCTCCTTGCAGTTAGGACTAGGAGCTTTCCCTCCTGCCTTTAGAGCCCGGCTCGATACAATACTTTTTCGATAGTTGGTTTTGATATTTATCGGAGACTAACGAACGACCCCTCCGGCCGGGCTTTATTCGCCATGTGCTTATGCTTAGTAGTCTTGAACCCTCGTACAGTGAGCGTATTAAACCTAAGCAAGTTTGATCTTCCTTTTTCCATTACAATTAAGTACCTGAGTAAAAACATGTAACTGATGTTAAAAGTTTTATTGGTCGAGTAAAAACGTGACGATCGTCAAGAATCTTTACCGCTAATTTTAAAAAATAAAAAATATCCAAGATGAATCAACGTCAAATTTAACGAATTTACTAAGAACTGGTCAAATAGGAGCAGTAACTGTCCATTTAGATGTTCGTCAATCAGTTGTCAGTATGCTTTTCTTTCATGGAAATTATTATTCTTTGTGGGATGGACAAGTAATTAATTTTTAAAATTAAAAAAATAATTTTAATTTTAAAGAGTATTTGGGTAGATAAAATGTCTTTTTCCCCCTTACATTTTGATTGCCATATTCCAAATGCAATTTCTGCAATGTTTGGAAAATTGGTTGAGGTAGGTCTAGAAAATAGTTAAAAATAGAGTTAAATTAAGCTTTCAAATACAATAGGAGCAAAAAGAATTGGTTGGATTTTTAATGAAGAAACAAAAAAGAATTTTTATGAAATTATGGAAAATGTAAAAATTAATTTTTATAAAATTAAGAAAAATTTCTTTTTAAAAAGATTGGAGCTATAAATATGACAAAACAAGAAGATTGGCATATTTATCGAAGCAACAAATCAGAATTTTCTGAATATTTGACAACTACTGGAGATAATTATATGAAGTTAGATGAGACACACAAACAACGGGCGAATGATTTGTTAAAGAAACAAAAGGCTCGAGAAATGAAAAAAATTCAACAAGAATGAAAGGAAGGAAAGAAGTTTTCTAAATTTAAAAAGACAAAATTGCGCGCATGTTTTGATTGGCAATTTTTAAAAATTTTTGGCGCACCTCTTTGATACTTTCTCTATTTTAGTCATTTTTCCTTTGGATATCTGTATCTATATTTTCAGGATACCCGGACTTTTTTTATCCGGATATTCGGATCCGCCAACTCTATTCTTTAATAGTTTTTCCAAACAATTTTTTATGCATATTGCATATTTCCATGTTTATTTTACACAGTAATAATATTTTGAAAAATGTTAAAATAAATAAATTTTTATAAAAATATTTTTATAATAAATTTAAAATAAAATAATAATTATTTCAAGGGTCTAATTATTTAATTATTTTTTAATTATTTTTAATTATTTCAAGACGGGCTCTTATTAAAATTTGACCACCTTTAAAAATGTCAAACTAACTTTTACTATTTTTAATCAACTTAGATTATTTGTTTTGATAGTCAAAATCCTCAATCCTCACAATATCTGAGTAGCTTTGAAAAAAGCTTTAATGTAACATTAACCTTAAGAATTTAAATTTTAGATATTAAAAAATTATTCGACTAACAGAAATTCTTTTCTTATCAAATTTTTTAAATTTTTGAGTACAAAAAATATTTCTGAGAAAATGTTGTTTGTTTCAGATTCAACAAATAAGTTTGTGCGTTTTTATTAAATTTTGACTGAGAAAATTATTGGAATTTACATTAAAAAAATTTAATAAAAATATTTCAATAATTTTCTCAGTCAAAATTTAATAAAAACGCACGAAATTACTTGGCAAATAGTCTAATGAGACAAACAACATTTTCTCAGAAATATTTTTTGTATTCAAAAATTATTAGTGCGTCAATTAAATACTCCATTAAATTCTCTATTTAATGAGTAAAAATAATAAAATAAAATTAAAAATATATATATATATATATATATTTTTATATATTAAAATTAAAATTTAATTTAATTAAAATTAAAAATTAAATTTAAAAAATGTCCTTCGATATACTTGATATTTTATTTAACTTTGATTATTTTGTTTGTTTATTAATTGGGTTTCCTTTAAATATTATTCTGATTGTTTTAATTATTTTTACAACACCAAAAGAAATGAAAATCCACAGTCTAATTTTGATACAAAATTGTGTTTTGGATATTTTAATGTTGACTGTTCAATTGTTTGTTCAATTGGTAATCTAAAACACAATAAATCATTTATAAACTTTATTATTTAAAGTTTTATATAGTCGATACAGAAGGGAATACAACAGTGATTTTTCCTAGTGGATTTTTGATTAGTTTTGTGAAAAATTTCAATCCAATCATGTGTAATATTTTTTTCAAATTATGGCAGTTTATTTGGAGTTTGAATTTAAATGGATTGTGTATTCAATTTATTTATAGATATTTGGTTTTGAATAGGTAGAATACATGTATAATATATAAAATTGACCTTGATTATTGTTGTGTCCGTACTTGCAGAAAGAATATATGTTGTTCCAATAACAATTTTTTGGAACGAGAAATTTCTTCTTTTGAAATTTCTATAATTTTTTATTCGATTAATTTTCTTCCAACCTTTTTCCAAACAATTTTTATTCAAAAAATAATTTATTTATTAAAGCCAATTTTTATTATAAAAAATAGAAGAATCAATTTAGAAAAAAAAGGAAAAATCTTTTTAGAAAAAAGTGATTGGTAAAAAGAACGCCTATGAGCGCCGATTACTACATTTTATATGTGAACGAAGGTCAAAAGTATTTAGAGAAAAGAGAGGGAAATTTTAGTGTAACAAATATATTATTGTGGAAATCTTAAGGGAACGGCAATAATTAATGGAAGAATAATAAAAAAAAGAGAAATAAAATCTTAAACTTGGGAATTTTATGAATGGACTTTTTTAATATTTTTAGATTTTATCTCTTTTTACTTCCGTTTCATCGTTTTTTCGTCTTGTGACCTTCTTTCGACCTGAGGCTGCCAAAGTCGAAACACTCCCAAAACGCGCAAGATTTGACTCTGTGGGCTGCTGATGAAGAGTTGACGACGAGATGGCTTCTTCCTCAAATTTATTTTTTAAAAATATTTTTTGAATATTTTTAATAGATTTGTCTGGCCTATTTACCACCAACCAAAGTTTATAGATAAAATATATGATCTTATAGGTCCAAATCACTACCCAGATTATGCATACTGTCGTAATTATTTTTTGTTTTAACTCATCCCAAATTTCTCGGAAAGGCCAAAAGCTCAAGGTTGGTGTGCCTATTTTTGCATCGAATTCATTGTTGGCGATTAATTCATTTTTCTCGCCATCGCGGCTCAGACTAAATTCTTTAAAAGCCTCCAGCATTAATTTTTCAGGGTTGCTTAATTTTGTAAGAATATGCCCTTTAAATGTTTTCGCATCCAGTTTTGGCGGCTTTTGGGACCATTCCAACCCTTTTGGGGCGGTTATTATATTTTCTTCAGGAATTCTTTCCAGGGTTCCCGTTTTCTGGTCCACTATGTATATTGCCTCTCTTATTTTAATTTTTTGCTTGCCATATTTTGAGCAGCTCCCATATTCAGTGTCTGCTCTAATAATGAGTTTTAACGGGTCCAAGAACATCATTTCACTCTTCCCCACGTCTAGTGTTACATTTATTGGAATGTTTTTTGAACGTTCTTTCCCAGTAGGCCTAATCTTTATTTTTAGCCAATCTATGGGGTAACAAGACCAAGCTTCCAACCATACCTGGTTGTTTTCTTCTGCTACCCAATTTGCTTCGACGTAAGGATTTAACAGTCGTTGTCGCGCAATCATGGTGGGGTCTAATGAAGAGAGAAAAGTTATTTCGGATTGTTGACGGCACATGAATCTAGCCAAATGATTATATGCCTGTTTGAGTTGCATTTCAGTTGTCAGGCGTTGTGCCGTTTCGCCCGCTGAAAATTGTGAGACGTGTATTTGCCCATCTAATCCCAAATTTTTTATTTTTTCTTTATTACCGCTAAATTCTGTAGCAGGTAAGGAACGTCTCGGTTGACTTTTGGTCACCGCAAAATGTGCCTGATAATCCAGCATAGTAATAGCATACAGTTGGTCCGTCCTCACCATTGTTTTACCACAATCCATGAACTGTTCTGGGCTTGTAACACTTAAAGAAAAAGTTTGATCATTAGCCATGAACCATTTATCATACATTGAGCCTTTGAAGGTTTCCATTCTTCTGAAGTTACACTGTTGCTCTTCTTTTGGAGCATTCCACAGTAACATCGATTGGTCTTCTAGGAGGCAAGCTCTGTCGATTAGTCGACAGTGTCCCAATTCCAGCAAAGGTGATTCAATCCTTTCCTGGTTAGGTGAAAAATATATATGTATTTTTGTCAAAAAACAATTAATGACAGAAACCTCTTTGCCACCCGAAAAATAAGAGAATTCAGGTTTTAATAAGTTCCTGGTCCTTTTGTTTTCTTCTTCTCCCTCCATTACTTGGTCTGTGCCAGTGTTACACTTTGAGGTGTAAATCATTTTCAAGCACTCTTCCCGGGTGGTGCTAAGTTGAATCTTTAAAATGGGGGAAATTATTTTATATCCCAGCCAATTTAAATAATATGTCATTTTTTCCATTACTTTTAGGCAATGGAATCCACTTACTTCTTGTGTGACGTCATTAGGGCGGAAGACTGTCAGTTCAATATTTTTAATTATTTGCCTTTCTGAGACGAATAATTCTTCACAATGAGAAGGGTGTTGATCTATTTTATAAATTTTGCTAGTTATTCCATGAGGGCATATCATTGGCTCACCTGTTTGGACGCCAGGTAAGCAAGATAGAAGTGCGAGTCCAAGCATAACCAAATTCATTGAAACATACGAGAGCCGATTAATTATATTCGGTCTTCCTCCATTTCTGATGGGGCTCATATTTCTAATGTAATGTCCTCGCCTAGGCGTACGACGTCCTCTTTGTTGATTATCCGACCGACGTACGTAAACGGTTCTTCTTGGATTATAATTATTTTCGACTCTTTCTTCTTGCATTTCCGAGTCAGATTCCTCTTCTTCGACAACCGGAGGAGCATTTTGTTGTCGTTCTAATCTAGTATCAGCTGCCCTTAATTTTCGTACAACTTCTTCTATCCCTTCTTTAGTTATTCTTCCTTCTTCATCTACTAAATTCTTTCTTAAGGCTTCTGAACTGCCCGTTTCTATTTCCAGGTATTTTGTACCTCTTTTTTCTTTTCTCTCTTTTTTGAGATTTTCAACAATTTTTTGCCAATAATCAACTTCTCTTGGTTTATAAGGAGGTGGCAAAATATAGACTGTTCCGCTGAAGCATTCAAGTTTTTTCCAAAGCGGTTCTAATTGAGCTTTGAGAGCTTCAGGGTGTCCTCCTTCATCAATAACTTCTCCGCCAATCCATATTATTGTTGTGAAATAAGGAGCTGGTGTGAGTGGTAAGTAGTCATTAAATAAATATTTAACTTCATTCGCTGCTATTGGTGCGGCGCAGAAACTTTGAGGGAAGAATTCAGTTAATATTTTCGCGTTGTGGTCCCCCACAATCATAACCTCTTCGTATATGGGAGTAGCTCGTGGATAATATTCAACAATTCGCATAAATGTGAGCGCTTTTTCAGAATGCTCAGCTATTTTTAAAAACAATCCATAGCTTTCTTCTTCAGTTGGATTTTCTTGCCCTCTCAAGCTAACGGGAAGCCAAGGTTTGTTTGAAAATGCTTCCTCCGCTAACTCACAAGCAGCCTTCCAGAGAGCTAATGCTGGCTTTAAATCTCTTGGATGCCAACCTCTTTCTAAATTTATAGTTCTTTTCTTTTCTATAGCAGTAATTATCTGCGCGGGCTTCTTTGCATTCAATACTTCATCAATAAACTCAATTCCCGCTTCAAAAGACGTTGTTTTATTATTTTTCTTCTTCCACCAGTCTTTTCTCATTTTCATTAGTGTCCAGAAACACAGAAGTAATTGGATTAAAGACTGAATTGGCTTACTCTGAAGACGTGGATAATCCCTTTTTATAGCTTCAGAATCCTTTCTAGCGATGTCGACAACGTTACGGAGAGTTAGTTGCGAGCATCGCTTGTGACTATTCGCTCCAGGTAGGCAACCATTAATTAAAGCCCAGCCGAAATTCAAAACGAGCTTTCCATTTTTGACCTCTCTTTTGGAGGGGTCTTTTTCTTTAAGTTCGGCCTTCTTTCCTTCTTTTTTAGGTTCCGAACCATTCTGTTGTTGAAACTTCATTAACCTAGAAGTGCTAGTACATTCTTCCTTTTTACCTTCAAAACAGTTTTGCTGTCTTGTTTTATTTAGTTTTATTGAACCTGAACCTGGCTGTTTGCGAACCACTTTCTCTTCAGCTTCCTTTTGTTTCTGTATTTTCTTTACAAAAGATTGTAGTCGATCATCAAAATTTTGTTTAACTTGCTTTTTTGGTGGCTCTTCGTTTTTATCAATACTTCCATTACTTTGATTTTTCAATTTTTCTTCTTCATAATCCAAAGAGAGGTCGGAAACATGTTCGTCTTCCATTTCCCTGAAAATGATCAAATTACATTGACAAATTTCTTTATTAGTAATTTTTCTATTTTTATTTTTCAATTTTAAAAAATCATTTTTATTTTTATTCTCCATTTCCTCAGCTTTTTCTGGGATTATTTTTTCATTTTCATCTACTTCAAAGGGAAAGAGATCGTTGACTGCGCGGCGCATAGTTCCTTTACTCGTTTTTACTACCGCTGTTCGCTCACCCGGAAGTAATTTTTCGATTTTTCCGAGCTTCCAAACTCCACGATTTTTTATTTCATCATCTCGGATGATGACAACATCCCCCGCCTTAGGGGAATTTTCTGCGGAAGGGCACTTTTTTATATTATTTTTTCTCTCTCTCAGTGCCAGCAAATATTCGGCTGTCCAAATTTCCCAGAATTTGTTTATTCTGTCGGACGCCTTCCTTATTTCCTCGACTAATTCTTCTTTATTAGTCATTTTTTGAGGTCTATAATCTGGGTCCTCCAAATCTGCTTTTGGCAAATGAGGAAGTTCAGAATTACCTTCTTCATATGGAATTAGAAAATCCACTGGTCGGAGGGGAATTATGTGCTCTGAGTCAGGGATAAAATTGAGTGGCCTGGAATTTACCACATTTTGTACTTCGCTTATTAATGTACGAAGTTCTTCCTCTTCCAACAGCCTTTTTCCGACTGTTCTTTTTAGAGAATATTTTACCAGTCCTACCATCCTTTCTACAAGTCCATTTTTCCATGGAGCTCTTTCCGTCACGAAAATCCATTTAATTTCGTGATCAGAAGAGAATTTTTGAATTTTTACTTCCTTCCAAATTATTTGTAGAGTTTTTTCCGCGGCTTTAAAATTTGTGCCGTTGTCGGAAATCATCAAAGCTGGCTTTTTTCTTTGAGCCATAAATCTTCTGAAAGTTTGTAAAAAGGCTTGGGCGGACAAGTCTTAAGCCATTTCTAGGTGAATAGCTCTAGTGCTAGTACACGTATAGACAGCTATCCATCTTTTAATTTTATCGCCACTGGTTTGTTTCACGGTTAGAGGTCCAAAATAATCAACCGCAGTGTGCATAAAGGGCCGAAATTGGTTAACTCTAATCGCAGGCAGTGTCGGAAATGCTGGTTGTTTGTATGGCTTTATCCAAAATTTCTTACATATTTGACACTTTTTGGTGACATCCTGGACTTTTTTCCGAGATATCCAATATTTTAATCTCAAACAGGCCAATACCGTATTGGTTCCTGCATGGGCCATTTTTTCGTGGACCTCCATTATTATTAATTCAGTTAAAATGGCATTCTTAGGCAACCAAATAGGAAATTTTGTTTCCTCATCGAGATTGCCCAATTCAATTCTTCCTTTACTCCTCCATAATTTTTCTGAATCTTTAAATAATAATAAATTTTGTTTTGTATCTTCAGAGGGAGGGTATAGATTTTGAGCTTCTTTTAATAAAAATATTTCAGCCAATTTCATTTCTTCTGGTTTAATTGTTCCTGGTGAATTGGCCATAGTTTCTTTTAATTTTAAGAAGAATTCATTTTTTATATTTATATTTTCTTTTTTCAGGCAAATTTGTTTTAACGCTCGGAAGACAAAAATTAATGTTGTTTTTAATTTATTTATTTTAGAAAATCGATGGTGCTCTATTAATGGTGCTTTTTCTATTGTCGAAAGGCACATTTCATGGAAAGGTTGAGGATTAAATTTTTCTATCCTCTCCCCTGGCACATATTCGATCTCAGTTTTAGGCCAATTTGCTTCTTCTTCATGAAGGAATTCTGGGCCTTTAAACCATAGAGCATTATTAGCCAATTCGCTTGGAGTAATTCCCCTACTAGTCATATCCGCCGGATTTTCTTCGGTTCGGATGTATTTGACAATGTTTTTTCGAATAGGCCTTAAACGTCTTTCAATGAATGGTTCTTGCTCCGATGGGCCTTTTAGCCAGTGGATGACTGTTTGAGAGTCAGTCCACAACATCTTTTTATTAATTTTTAGGTCGAGCATATTTTCAACATATTCCAACGCTTTAGTAGCTATTAAGGCTGCATGGAGTTCCATTCTGGGAATAGTTAATTTTGCTTCGCATTTGCCAATTTGCGCTTTAGGCTTTACTCTGCTTTTAGCAAAAATTAGAGTCGATTCTATTTTCGCATCTTTTTGAGAGCGAAGATAGATCGTGAATCCTAGAGCTTTGTCTGAAGCATCAGAAAAGGCGCATAGTTGGAAATTTGGTACTTTCGTTAATTTCCACGAGATAACTCTTCTGGGTATTTTAATAATGCTACAATTTAGATATTCTGTTGCGATTTCTTCCCATTCAATTTTTAATTCCTCTGGTAAATCATTGTCCCAAGGAAGTTTTGCTTCCCATAATTTTTGCAATAGCCATTTCCCTTTTAAAAGAGCGGGTGAAATAAGGCCGCAAGGGTCGAAACATTCAGCTATAGTTGCTAGGACTTTTCTTTTTGTCCATCGCTTTTCTTCAGTTATTTTTGGTATAGGGAGTTTTAAAGATAGAGCATCATAAAAGGTGTCCCATGTTATACCTAATATTTTTTGTTTAGCGCTAGAATGCAAATTAGTCGTCCTTGCTTCTATTGGAAGCTTATCAACAGGTATGGCATTCAATTGTTTCGTCGCGTTTGTAAATATTTCACGAAAGTTCCATCCGGCTTCGTGAAATATTTTTCGCGCTTCCAATATATCTTTTTCAACTTCCGATTTTTCTTCTGCTCCGATTAAGAAATTGTCGACGTAGCCTGCCTTTTTCAATTTATTAGCAGTGGAACTATCATATTTGGCTAAATGATAGTCTACAGTCATTCCTAAAATAGAGGGAGAACAATTTACGCCAAACGTTACTCTGGCGTAACGGAATATTTTTAAATCATCGTCATTTTGTGACGAGGCTGGTTTTTTAACGTCCTTAACCCACAGAAATCGTACGCAATTCCTATCTTCTGGTCGCAAGCTTATTTGTAAAAAAGCTGCCTGTAAATCTCCAGCTATCAAATACGTGGGCAGACGACATCGCATAAGTAACCCGCATAAATCTTGTATTGTGACGGGGCCTTGGTGAAGACAATCATTTAGAGAAGGATTGTCCTTCCGGCTTTTTCCGCTTGCATTAAAAACGATTCGGAATTTTGTGAAAGTTTTATCTTCTCTCACAACCGGGAAATGTGTCAGATAGTGAATTTGTCCACCATCATCTTGATTTCTGGGTATTTCTTCGATAATACCTTTTTCCACTTGGTCAGCAAATGTTTGTTCATAAAGCGCTAAATGGTGCGGATTTTTCTTCTGTTTTTCCTCTATTTGATTTAAAAGCATTGCTTTGGCCATACGGTAATTGCTTGGTAATTTTGGGCACGGGTCTTTCCACAACCAGCCTGCTTCATAACGTCCATTTTGGAACGTTAATTTAGCTTCAAATTCATTTCTTATTTTTTCGTCCAATTTTTGATTGGTTGCGTCGCCTATGCCAATTCCGTCAAGCGAATACATTTTATCTATTTTATCTTCTAATGTTTCGTTTCCATAGTCATTTTCTTCAGTAATTACTACATTAGAACGATCAATAGGAGGGAAAGATTTACTATTGGTAATTTGTCCTTTCCCTCCTATTACTGGGCCAAGCGCACTGTCTGCAAGCCAAAGTCCGCAATTTAATTTTTTCTTTCGAATTATATTTAATTCGAAGAAATATTCAATTCCCAATAGGACGTCCGGTTCGACTACGGAATGCGGTATTTTGTTGGATTTTAGATCCAATTCGCGCTCGTCTTCGGGAGCCAAAACCACAGGCATCTGGGTGATCAAGCTATGTAAATTATCCAGCTGCCCTACTTCTACAAACATTTGCCCGTTTCTGCATTTTTCGATCCCTAATCTGAATATTTCTGCCTGAAATTCAATTATTGGGGATCTGTTTGCCGGAAAAGGTTGGATCCTTTGTACCTCTTTTTGAGAAGTACGCAGGCCTAATTTTTGCGCTATTCCTTTTCGAATGTAAGATCTTTGGGACCCACAATCAATAAATACCATTCCAGTTGTCCTTTTTTCGGGACTAGACGGATTGAATATAACGGCTTCCCGGCATAGCAAAATTCTTTTTTGCCGCGGTTTCTGTAAAAGAGCCAAGTTTTGCAAAACGTTGCCTTCAATTTTTATCTTATTTTCCTTATAAGTTTTTTCGCAAAGAGCCGTGTTGTGTCTTTCTTGACAATGGAAGCATCTGATGGGTCTTCTACAATTCCCCATGTGCTCTGGCTTAATGCAAAAAACACATCTTTTTAGTTCTATCAATTTTTGCCGTCGATCCTTCGCGGTGCTAGTTTGTCTGCATTCATCCCCCCAATGTCCCTTTTTTCCACAAAATATACAAGGGTATATTGGGGCTCTCCTCCCACCTTCAGGCTTATTTTGGTTTTGGTTGTTGTTGTTTTTATTATATTTTGCGCGTGTGTTAAAATTTTTATTTTTTGCTTCAGTATTTGCGAATGTTCTTGTTACTTCCTTTTCATTATTTCTTCTTACATTTTGGAAGTTTCTTTGGCTTTTTATGGTATTTTGCTCAACTTTTTCGTTTGATTTTGCGTGAATGGAGAGGACAAGTTCCTCTTTCTCTATTACTTCACGCAAAGCTTTTCTGAAAGCTGTTGTGTCCCATAAAGCTTCATTACTTTTAACAATCGCCTTCTTTGACTGAATTTCGCGCAAAATGGGAATTGTGAGCTTTTTTTCTAAGCTCATCCAAATTCCTTGGCCTGAGATGTTTTGGTCGTTATTTTCCAAAAGGCGGCATATTCTTTCAACATCTAACGAGAATTTCTTACAATCTTGAAAATTTTGGCAAATTTTTAAACTTTCTAATTGTGTGTGTAAATGCCGTGTATATTCTTCCTCATTTCCATATCTTTGTTTGAGTAAATCGATGGCTACTTCATAATCACTTAATTTTAATCCCTCTATAAGTGATTTTGCTTCTCCCAGTACACATTGTTTGAGAACCGCGTGTTTTACTTCTTCACTTCCGTCGGTCTCGTGTACTGTAGCGTTGAAGATTTGCCACCACTCGGGCCAGTCTATCTGCCTACCCGAGAATTTTCCAATTTCTTGCCTCGGTGGCTTAAAACTAAATCCAAGAGCTTGTTGTACTTGTGTTGTAGAATTAATTATCGATTTCTCTTTTCTTTCTTCCTTTCTTTTTTCAGTTTTTAACTTCCTTTCTAAATCTTTTAGACTTCTTAATTTTATTTCCGCTTCATTTAGACGCTCTTCGATATTATAGTCTTCTGCTACTTCTTCATACGCTTTTTCGAGCGTTTGTTTTTCTGCTTGCGACCCTCTTTGAATTAGCGAAATCCATTTCGCGTTTGCTTCTTTTAAATCGTTGTAGGCTTCTGCTAATTCTTCAATTTCTGTATTTAGCTGGTCGAGTGTTTCGCAAACATCAAGGAAGAATTCTGAATTTTGTTCAGAATCTTCAGGTTCTTTTGGAACCTCTCGCTCAAGTAGCGTTTGTACCGTTTCCGAAGCTCTTTTTGTGAAAAGCTTCAGCGGTTTACTCATTTTTATTTATTTTAAATTTCTTTTAATTTTTCAAAATAAATTTAAACAAAAATTTTATTTTATTTTTTTTTTGAAAGGACACTAAACTACCTTTTTGTTGTTGCTCAATCAATCCACTAATTATTTTAAGGAGAATTTTATTATTTTTGTTGTTTCCAAATAAATTTGCAGGTCGTTATTATTTTTTTTGTTGTCAGTGCTCGCCACTTGTTCCAATAACAATTTTTTGGAACGAGAAATTTCTTCTTTTGAAATTTCTATAATTTTTTATTCGATTAATTTTCTTCCAACCTTTTTCCAAACAATTTTTATTCAAAAAATAATTTATTTATTAAAGCCAATTTTTATTATAAAAAATAGAAGAATCAATTTAGAAAAAAAAGGAAAAATCTTTTTAGAAAAAAGTGATTGGTAAAAAGAACGCCTATGAGCGCCGATTACTACATTTTATATGTGAACGAAGGTCAAAAGTATTTAGAGAAAAGAGAGGGAAATTTTAGTGTAACAAATATATTATTGTGGAAATCTTAAGGGAACGGCAATAATTAATGGAAGAATAATAAAAAAAAGAGAAATAAAATCTTAAACTTGGGAATTTTATGATTAATGGACTTTTTTAATATTTTTAGATTTTATCTCTTTTTACTTCCGTTTCATCGTTTTTTCGTCTTGTGACCTTCTTTCGACCTGAGGCTGCCAAAGTCGAAACAATGTAAATGAAAATAAATAACCCAGCATTAGGTTGGATGGTGGCACAGTCGGTTGTGCTTCGGTCTGGGCTCATTCCATTATGGTTCAATCCCATCTCCCATCCACAATTTTTCCACAGCATGAACTTGTATACAATAATTATGTGGTCACAAACAAGAGTGTAAGCCGAAATTTCTGAATAACCGCCAAATGTAAACGCCAAATCGCAAACGGCAACCAAAATTAGCCAAAAGATATTTAATCACTGGTTTCAATCTCAATAGTCCATGAGATTAGGATGGATTAAAAGGGATATTAAGGTATTGGGAACGTGATATCGGGAGATCGATTGGGATTATAGGGGGTCAGATTTTATACTTTTTCAGCGCCGCAGGCGAAAATCTTAAGAATTTTGAGATTTTAGAATCATAAGAATTATTAAAAAGTCTTTACAAAGTCTTTTTTATAACACCGCGTTTCGTCTTGGGTTTCGCAACCGTTAACTCTCACGGGAGTTAACGGTTGCTAGGTTTTATAAGCAGTAACATACATAAGCCTATTCTTTTTATCGACTTTCAGACATGAAATGCAAGCCCAGATTAGTTTTCTATACTATAGGGAATAATGTCAAAAATTATATAGTTATATGGAGCCTTGTATATCTAGAATATAACTATTTTTATTAGGAATATAAAAATTAATTTTCGTCGCTATCTATTTATGTTCTCAATGGCTTTTTTTGTAACATTATTTTACATTTTTGATTTTTCTTTCTTTGTTTCACTATATTCTAATGGAGGTATTAAATATTTTGATAATCTTAACAAGACTTGGCCGTTTATTCAATATAAAATGGGAACGGTAATTATTAATCATGTTTAACTTAAAATAAAAATTATGTAGACTTCTGTTCTATCAAAATTACCAATAGCATTAATTGAAATAATTCCATATTTAATAATATTTGTCTGTGGATTCAAAATGGTTAGATATGTCAAATTAAATTCTAATTTAGATGGAGAATTAAAAAGATTAAATAAATTGTTGACAAAAGTTTTGATAATTTTGGTAAGATGACTTAACATTTTGGTCTAGACTTCCCCCCTTTTCCCTTCTAATTTTTTTATTTCTTCTCTCTATGTATATATAGCAAATCATAAATAATTTGAAAGAGCTCTTTAAGCTGAGTCGAAAGACACTAAATTCAATGAAATCTGACCTAACTGAACAAAGTTATGATCATTTGTTTAACCTCTTCCTGCAACGGCACAAAAACAGCTTTCCCAACGAGAATTTAGCTTCATTACTTTTAAGAATTATGTATCATTCAACACAGCTCAAAGAGGTCTTTCGAATGATAATCAAAAATTGAATGGTCAGCGAAAAATGAAAAAAAAAGGGGGGGGTCTACCGAATTATTATCAGAAGACTTTTCACATTTATCCTAATTGTAATAAACTACCATATTTTTCCAGATAAAGATCCATTCTCAATTAGAGCCCCATTCTCTAATACAGCCCGTCTGGAGGATGGTTGATCAACAGAGCCCCATTCCCTATTAGAGCCCCACTCCCTAATACAGCCCCCCAATATTGTAAGTCTAAGTAAATACTAAATTGAGTTATCCTGAAAGCCTCCTGATCAACAAACAATTTTGATCAAACAAATTTTTTTATTTCTTAATATGGATTTGAAAGTCCTCTTAATCCCTCCAAATCCACAGATAATCCCTCCAAATCCACATTTTCCCTATTTCATTTATTCCCTCTCTCTATATACATATATCAAATTATAAAGCATTTGAAAGAGCTCTATTAGCTGAGTCGAATGACACTAAACTCAACGAAATCTGACTTAAATGAACAAATTTATGATCATTTTTATAAACTCTTGCATTAGCACACAAATAGATTTCTTAAAGAGGATATACATATCTTCATTATTTTTAAGAATTATCACATCTAACCGTTTATGATATCATTTAACCCAGTTCAAAGAGTTGAAGCAAAAAAATCAAATGAAAAAAGGGGGGTCTAAACCGAAGTATTATCAGAAGAGTTTTAACATTTATCTTGGCAGTAATCAAGAAACTAATTTAATTTTTTAATTTAAAAATTATTTTTTTTGTAAAACTGTAAGAAAAAGAGAACTTTTTCAATAAAAATTATGTTTATTATTAAAAAATCGATTTAAATTTTTTGAATTAAATTTTTAGGCTATTGTGCCATTTATTAATCACGCTGTAGCTTTATATTGTTTATCTTATTCAACAACAACCGACTACACAACAAATATTATTCGAATATTAATTTCAATTTTTTTTCATTTTTTACCTGTATTTAACCCAATTATTTGTATTTTAACAAACACGCCTTATCGAAATGCTATTTTTAATCGTTTACAAATACATCCACAATAATTGATGAATTTCTGCTTTAACTTAAAATTTTTCGAGATTTTTTTAATCTCTGTGAGATCTGTATAATAACAAAAAGCCCACTAACTGAAGGAATATTCAACTAGATTTTACGGAATTTTGAAAGAATTCTGGGATCCTTACAGAGCAAATTCATTAATATTCATTAATAAGACAAATTCATTAATATTCCATCTTTTATAGGGATAACATCATAAGATGTCTATTATTCTATTATTACATGTCTATATTACCGTAAATCTTCTAATAGAAACACGTGTGCTTATAATATTTTTCGATCCTCTCGTGGGATGTTTGATTTTTGATTTTTTGCTTCTGTCTATAAGAAGATTTACGGTATGTATATTTTAAATTGACATTTTCCTATACAGTTTGTAATTAATTTTGGGGATATTTACACTTATCGCTAAACTATTTGTAGGAAATTTCATAATTACAAAAGAGATAGAAATATGTATATATCACTTTAGATTTTTTAAATTCTTAATTTTTTTTAATTTTCTGTTTGTATTTAAATTTTTTTGAGTTTTGATTTTTTATATTTGTTTTTTTACATTTTTTTGGATTTTCTGTAATAAATTTGTATATATTTACAATTTTATACATATCTCATCTTCTTTTGTTTATTTAATAATAATTTCTTTGTTTTTATTTTTATCAGCTTCTTTTAGAACATTCTTCTCTTCGTTTAAAACTTTCTCTACTTCTTCAAGTAAAACATTTTGAGGGGATTTATTTTCCCATTTATTATGTAAATAATTAAACGCTTTGAAAACTTTTTCCTGATATCTTAAATAAAAATAATATTTTAATTTAAACGTACATAGATATATAAATAATATATTGATACTTGGATCAAAATCCTTGAATATCCATCAATAAGTTTAGGGATTAGAAAAATTCTGTATGCAAGTTTGTCTAATTTTTGTAAGGATATCATTGCCTATTGTGAGAATAGTAAATGAAGT